GCCATTGATCCGGCACCGTTCCAGCTCGTCAAAGGCACTTCTCTCTATAAGGTACTGGTGTTTCGAATGTTTCGCGTTATCACAAAATACATGATGGGAAGCAAAAGAAATCTTTTCTCTGGTGTACATACGTTATTTTCACTGTTGGCACTGAATCATGCCTACGTCACGGGAAAAAGGACGGCTTGTCGGTGTGGTTGCACTCAAAGAGGTAAGCTTATCGTTCTAGCATATTATTTATAATTTCTCTGAGCTTCACATTTCGTCAACGATTTGAGCTTGTATGATGTGGTATTAGCATTTGCGAGGGTACTGTCAGAATTTAAAAGGACGCACTATTACTACTACATATGCAAAAAGAAAAAAAAGAAGCTGCGTTTGTCAGAGTGAGAAGCAGCTAAAAATGGCAATCAAAGGAGAAACCAAATCTCACTCGTCACGATAACTGAAACTTTACACTGTTCGACAGTGCTGGGCCGAACTCGGAACAACTATCATTGATCTTCTTTTTAAACATGAAAATTAACGTGGTCACTGCACAAACCGGTGGAGGAATTGCCGAGGTGTAAAGCTTAGGCTCTGCTGTCTCCAACCCCGTTCTTCGGTCTTTGCATTCAGTGTGCCCTGGAATTGTCGAGTTCCTAGAACGGAAACTGGAAGTCGTAAATGAGCGAAACGTTTCCTTTGGTCACTGCGATCTCATTTTGGAATTTCACTTAGGACAAATAGCAACCAGGGCTTCATATTAAGCACTCCCTTACTACGTTTCCTTTATCGCGGGATGTGCGTGTAATATTTTCCATCGTGATCAGATAGTCTTGTATACTTTCAAAATGAAGAGTATTCATCATTTCACACACTGGCTATTGCAGGCTTTCACTATTGCTGCTTTTGGTGTTGTTATAGCTTACTGCTTTTTGTTTTTGTAGTCTTAGTTGCACATAGAATGTCATAAGTGTTTCCCTTCAGAAGGTGCACCCTTCATTTGCTTTCGCACTGCTGATCCTGTGCTTAACTATGTACCTGCATGCTACATATTTTTCAGGTTGCCGTCTTACTTTTCATTTCAATAGTTATTTGACACTAGCTGCATTTTGTTCGCAAAACAGCTTCTTCAGTACGAACTTGCACGGTTTCATCTCGAGTGATATTGCTTCTACGAAGTCCTTTTGCACCCACATGCGATCTCATTCACGCTTTTTTGCAGTTATCATCGGGTCCTTTGCTATCTCTTACTTTCTACGGGCACCTTTTACAGACGCTTTATTTTTGTTAAACGCAGTCAGTTGTCAATAAACAATTACTAATAATGCAACGAATCAAGGTTAATCTCAAAGAGTTAGGATTAATAATTGTTGTTTATTAATACATGTCAAATATGGGGTTATGCATTCACAACCCCTTCACTGTTCATACCACAACACAATAATTTGCTACTTGATCTTTGGCCTCAACTGGATAGTCTCTTTGGCGCTTTTGATACAGCGATCAATATATCAATAGCGGAGATTTTGTGATCAAAGGATCTTTTTGCAGATTAGGCAGTCGAAAGCGGCGATTAATATTTAAAGTTACATTCCGCGGCTGCCAAAATGTATGCTA